CATGTATGTGGCCTCTATGTGTGTTGAGAGAGAATGGGCAAGAACAGAAAGATGTTCAGAAAGAGGTTAAAAATGTTACTGCATGTTATCAAATGGCTAGAAGAGCAGAGATTGAATGCCCTCATCACAAAGAAATGATTAAGTCCTATAATGATGAATATGCTAAGTACCCTGATTTGATCATCACACAATGTATACATGTATTGAAATATAACTCTGCACCCCACAAATATGTATAAGCAATATATTTCAATAAAAAAATGTTAACAAAGAAAAATGTAATAAAATAGTGTGGTACTGATGCAGAGACAAATAGACCAATGAAACAGAAGAAGGCCTAGAAAAACAGATCATGCATATATATAGATCCTTGATATACTTATGACAAAGGTAGCACTGCTGAGCAATGGGGAAAGGCAACCTTTTAAAATAACTGCTATTAGGGAAATTGAGCATCTACATTTCAAAAAATTAACTGGACCCCTACCTTATACAATATATAAAAATTGCTTTCAGGCGGACCTCAGATCTAAAGGTTAAAAAAAAAAGAAAGAAAGCCTTTAGATGATAATATAGGAGGACATCTCCTTAAGTATAGAGGGGAAAAGAAATGATTATTTCGGCTACTTAAGAAAAAAACTTTTCTTAAAAAGAACCATAAAAAGATTGGAAGAAAAAGCCACAGAGTGAGAAAGATATTTGTAACATATATTGCTGAAAAATGATTAACAGTACATAAAGAAATCCTACAAATCAATAAGCATAAGAGACATTCAAGCAGAAAAATGGGTAAAAGACCTCAACAGGCACATCACAAGAGAGGAAATTTAAATGGCCAATAAACATATGAAAAGGCTGTCAATCTCATTAGTAATAAGGGTAACGTAAATTTAAAACATAATGAGATATCATTACACATTCACTAGACTGGCACAGTTTTAAGGTATGGCAAGGATATAGAGCCAATGGGAACTTTCATACAATGCTTGCATCCAAAGAGGTTTAAGAGGGCTGGCTGGTTAGCTCACTTGTTGTGAGCACAGCCTTATAACACCAACATTGGAATATTAATCTCAATTAACTAGCAATTATATTCTCTATAGCAGAGATTACCAATTAGCATGCACCAGAATTACTTGCAGGGGTTGTTTTTTTTTTTTTTTCCTTTTTGTCTTTTTTTCGTGTCCGGCAACGGATCGCAACCCT